GTGTGTGTGTGTGTGTGTGTGTGTTTCTCAGAGGAGTCAAAGATTTGTTACAGCACTGAAGTGTCTTTCATTTTAACACAGAATGTCATGGAATATCAAATTCCAGATGAATAAATCAAAATGTGGGCTGTGCCCTTATTCAAATCATGACATTGACTAGTGTTTGTGAATAAAGGGGGGGAAAAATACTGTAAATGTGAAGTCTGCATGTTGTGTGTGTCTCAGTTTGCTCTACTACACATACTAAAGCACATTTGATGCTTGTCTGCATCTCACTATATGAGACACGAATGCATGAACTTCATCTCCAGAGCTGCTCTGAGAATTACTCCACCAGTATTTCACCATTTAATTTGAGAAAAACTATCATCAGATACACATAAACACAAAGGTCTTCATGAGAACCTGTCAAAATACAAAGTAAAAGAAAGTATGACAGAAATACATTATTGCTGTACAAGATCATTTATTTCTCAAAGCCTTTCTGTTTTGCCAGAAAAAAAAACTGTATTTATTTTTTGTTAAAAAACTGTTTACTTATGTTTAATTGTTACATTTTCATTTGATTACATTTTAAAAGATTCATTAAATTGTTACAATTTTATACATAATTTGATTACCACAGTTTTTGATTAAAAAAAACAGAATCCAGAAAATGTAAAAATTGAATTCAGAAAAAAATAAAACAGATTTCATAAGCCACTATTACTGTTAAATGTTTAAGATATTCTTTTTGTAGGTTATATAATAAAGGTTTTATGAATTCAATTGATTAACATGCTTTTTGATTATTCAAATGTAATCAAACCATTCCAAGGAAATCCAGAAAAATTAAAACATAAAACATAGAATTTGGGGAAAAATAACATGGAACTTGGGAAAAAAAATAAAACTGATTTCATAGGGCACTACTACTGTTATTTATTTTAGTACATTATGAAATTGTTTTACATTTTGTTATGAAAGTTTTATGATTAGACATTCTTGTTGATTATTAAAACAGAAAAAATTAAATGAATTTTTTTTTTTAAAACATGGCACTTGGGGAAAATAAACCACATTTCATAAGGCCCTAGATGTGACTCAACAAAACTAGAGCACTTCCATTACAAATCACCGTAGCTGAGAGCAGGTGACGCAACACGTCTAAACTAGAGCTCACATTCTCATCACTGAAGGTGATAATGAGCAACACAATGCCAAAAACTAGAGCGCTGCCTTTAAAATCAGCTCTTTCTGCTGTCGCGCTTCTCATGGGACACTGGGTACATTTACACACACGCTATATGGAACTGTCCGGAAACCTTTTGGGTGAAGGTAGTTGATGTCGTCTCAGCACTAACCGGCACATCTACTGCATCTACTCAACAACGACTCATTAAAAACTCACCCATTAAAGAGAGAGAAGCACAGCCAGAAAATTAGCATTTAATGTTCAACATGACAGAATTAGTGCACTCAATTTATAGGCCTAATCATTTAAGCAATGCAACTAGAACAAATCCATTAAATGCCAAAGAGCAAACCTAGAACACTCTGGTTTTAATCAGCCCGCTTGCATTTGATGTGTCACTCACTCTCACAACTGACTACCGAAGCGTTAAACTTCATGTTGTGATGATGGTAAAGGTAACGCTGGCTCTCTTTCTCTAGAGCAGAGAGAGATAAGCGGCGGCTCATAATAGCATTCTCATCTCTGCTCTCTTGGAGACGAGCCCGGACGTAAATACAGGTGAAAATGAAAGCTGGAATAATGGCCGTGTCTTATCTCCAGGGATGGTTTTATTGGCTGCTCTGAGAGCGTCAGGACACTGGGACACACCTAGACGTCTGATAAAGCACTAATGGAGTCGCTACATTAACAGACCAGACGCTGCGAAAGGTACAGTGTCTTCATACTGTATTACAGACAGAGAGAGAAAGAGATGGTCAGTTAGTCAGTGTTGCATAATCATAAGGACCGCCAGGAAATAACTGCATTTACTGCCATTCAAAAGTTTGAAGATTTTGAATGTTTTTGAAAGTCAAAACATTCTGCTCACTAAGGCTGCTTTAATTGGATCCAAAATACAGTAAAATTCTAATATTATTAGAATTTCAAAAAACTGTTTCCTATTTGAATATATTGTAAAATGTAATTTATTGATATGATCAAAGCTGTTTTTTTCAGCATCATTACTCCAGTCTTCAGTGTCACATGATTTTTCAGAAATCATTCTAATATGCTGATTTGCTGTTCTAATATGCTATGATCCTGTCTAGAAGTTTTGCAATCCAAAACATTTTTTTGCAGAACCATTTTCAACTATGCAAAACACATTAATACTCAATAAATATTTATTAATCGTTTGGAGCATTTACGTCTATATTAAATTGTGAAACTACTCCCATTTGTTTTGAAGTGCTGGAACTGCTCTGTCTACTTTCGTTATCGATATGATGCTCAAAACTGAGCGCTGAATTAATGTTTCCGAGTCAAAAACAAACCTCTCTTTAAGCTTGCCTGCAGGAGATTAAGCTCGCTGACATTAAAGCCATACAAAACCATTTTTTGCCGTTCTGCCTCTTTTCTGCACAGGAATAAACTTAAGGTGAGTACTTGTAAACAGTTTTATTTTAGTTACACTATTATAGATTTTAATTCATATTTTGAATTCGTTTTTATTTTTATATTTTCTGTTTTAGTTTTTTTTTATATATTTTCTGTTTTAGTTTTTTTTTTTACATTTTTATTAGGTTTTATTTTGTTTAATATATCTATATAGTGTTTATTTTTATTTCAGTTGTAGTTATTTTAGTAAATCGACTTAAACTAAATGAATATAAGAAATGGGTAACACTTTACAATAAGGTCTCATTAGTAATGCATTAAACTAACATTATAGGGGTCATGAATTGAGAAATCAACTTTTACTTGAGCTTTTGATATATAAGAGGACATCATACTAAAAGAATATCCTGTAAGTTTCAGAACTGAAAACGCACTTGTTACTTAAAGGGGTCATATTATGCTTTTTTAAAGATCATTATTTTGTGTATTTGGTGTAAAAGGCAAGGCAAGGCAAGGCAAGGCAAAACAAGGAAACACAGGCAGGATAATATAAACTAGGAATCATTACAGGCTAAACAATCACCAGCAAAGGGTTCGAGTGTGTGTGCATCTTTTAAAGTCCTTCTAATGTGAGACAGCTGTGAACTGATGATGAGATCTAATGAGTGACAGGTGATGCAATAGATGATGAGTCCGGCAAAGGATTATGGGGAATGTAGTCCAGGGTGAATGGCAAAAGTCAGGGATGGAGTGCCCACTGGTGGAGCTCAAGGGCACTCCAGTTGGTCATCGTGACAACCCCTTTAAATAAAGGCTTTTATTGACACCAGGCCCAGCGAGCGCCAGACCCTAAACACCGCCTCCACAGAAGAAGATCAACGCCTAATTATGTAGCCCCGCCCACTGAATCACACATGACATAGTAGGGAAATAACATGAGTGGCGCTAAACCGGATCGAGCAACAAAGCAATAAATGTGCCATTGAAGATCGCAAAATATTGTGCAGTGCCTGGTTGTGGAAGAACACAGTCGCTGCATAACCTTCCTTTGGATTCAAATATTATGAATGTGTGGTTGAACTTTATTTTTAATGAAGTAACGTAAGTAAATCCTTGAGCGTTTGTTCACTTAATTTCACTGCAGATTCCTTTGTAAACAAGACACAGGTCGATGCTGGATTTGCAGAGAGACTGAGATTAAAAAGCAATGCTGTGCCGTCTATATTGGATCCGACAGGAATGACGCAGCACACTTATGTGAGTAAAAATATTTGTACTATATGTGTCACTATTGCTTTGTTTGAGATCGCTTGATATGTCCTGATTATGTGTACAAGTCTAACCAAAGTCACAGAAGGCTCCAACTATGAAGGACGTAGCTTATCAAACAGACACACAGAAAGTTAGTTTACTATGCAAAACTTTTATCCAATCATAGCAGTGGGTGTTGACTTCCAAGTCTTCAATGCGGCACGCCCATACAATCTGAGCGTTTCTTGAGCCGGCCTCAAAACCAGGGTAGAAAAATACCCTATTACTTATTGATTTTGATGTTTGTTTTTAATGTAAAAACCACGCAAACTTCATAAGTGGACCTCAGAAACAGTACAAAATAATCAAAGAAGCCAGTTCATGACCCCTTTAACTAACAATGAGTAAAATATGTGTTGCTGTATTTATTAATCCTTGTTAACATCAGTTAATAAAAACACCTGTTTATTGTTAGTTGTCAGCTCAGGTCCATTAAATAATTTTAACATGTACGAATTTTAATAATGAATTTGTAAATGTTGAAATTAAAACTATGTTTAATAAATGGTTTAGAAGTATTTTTCATTGTTAGCTCATGTCACTAATGTACTTAACCAATGTTTACAAATGAACCTTATTGTGAGTGTTACTGAGAAATATTGCCTTGGCAACTAGCTTTTTAAGATATTTTATTTCAGTTAAAATTTATTTTATGTAAAGTTACGAAGGAACATACAAAATGTATGTTTATGTTGTAGTGAACAATACCAACCCTGCTTGTAAACAAACTTTATCAGCACGGCTGCACAAGCAATAGGAATGTAACTATGCACCGCGAGCTGGTTGAACATCGATACAAATATGTGACGATTCAAATCGGTTGAGATGTTAAACGAATCGCGATAGAGTTGAGGGTGGGTGTTTATATGAATGCATGTCAGAGGGGAACTGACTGTCTTTAGAAAAGTTTAGATGGTATCTTTTCATTTCATCTCTGTATAAAGAATATTAAAGTAGTGTTCATAAGCGCTGCACTGCTTTGTTTACAGCATTAACCAAGGAAACGCTGTATCGCTGCTGATCTATGAGCGCCTCCTGCTGTCTCATTCAGAGCTTCTGCTGTCTTTGTTTTGTTCAGATATGTTTTATGTAGTATAGTTTCACAAAACTAAAGTCAGAGCATTCTGTTTTTTCATGTTAAATTATACAATCTAATTTAGATTAAAAACTGCTCATGCTGCATGCATACAGCATCTTTGTTGTGATTCAAATGCAGTGGTTGCCTCTAATTTTGAATGGAAAGAGCACAAGCAAAGCCTTTGTTTATATGAAGAAATGTTTTGTCTTATTTATTTGATTAGATTTGGGGTTTATTTAAAAAATTCTATTTAGTTTTGTTATTTGACATATTTTTGTTTCACAAAGTACTTCAGTCTGTGTGCATTGAATTTATTTAATACACGAGTTTCACAATTTGAGTTGAATTACTGAAATAAATGAACTTTTCCATGACATTATAATTTATTGAGATGCACCTGTATATACAGTATATGTTAGGGGTGCTCTGATCAGGGTTTTTGAGGCCGAGCACAGAAAGCAGTATCTGCTGATACCGAACACCGATACCAATCTTTTTAAAGCCTTCTTTTTATCATTTATAACTATTGATACTCCCATTTTTCCTCACATCTGCCGCTGTGCGAGTCTTGATCTGTACAGATAAGCGGTCAGTGTGACCTGTAACACGCTTCACTTTCTACTCATTAGAGCATTTTAATGACCAGATGATCCTGAAATTAGCCAAAAATCATCAGAGCTGGAGTGTGTGCGGCTTGTCCTCCATCCTGACCCCAACTGATCATTCAACGACTGTGCAACAAATTCCCAGTGAGAATTTTGACATGATCCTTAACAGGTTAGTCCTCTTATCATTTACTCACCGCACATCATCCCAAACCTGCAGAACTTTTTTCTTCAGTGAAACACAAAATAAGTTGTTTAGCTGAATATGCACATTGCACTTTTTAATGACAGTGAATGTGCTGTCAAGCTCCAAAAATGACAAAAAAGCACAATAAAAGTAGTTCTCATGACTACAAAGCTATTGTGTGACATCAGAAGAAGCGCACGTGTCATTTGGACTGCTGTTATTGGTGCTTTTTTGTCATTGTTGGAGCTCGACAGCACTATATGCAATTTCATACAATACAGCACTCTGGATATTCGGCCTCTGATCTGCCTTTGTGTTCGGCAGAAGAAAGAAAGTCTTGCAGGTCTGGAACAACATGAGGGTGAGTAAATGAAGATAGAATGTTCATTTCTGGATGAACTATCCATTTAACAGAACAAAGCTGGAGAAGCTGGATCAGAGCTGCTGGTGTCAGGCTGAAGTCTTTGGCATCCATATCTGCACAGAGCCAATCAGACAGAAGAACTCTTATCTGCTCCTCCAGAGAACACACACTTCACTTTCACATCACACACACACACACTAGAGATTTCTGTAGATCTGACTCTCATCAATACGTTTCTGTGTGTGCTGGAGAGAATATGGTGTGGGAATGGTTCTTATTGTAGCTCTGAAAGAATCTCATTAATTTACTGTCCTACGTGTGTGTGTGTGTGTGTGTGTGTGGTCTGCATGACTTGGGAAAAAATATAATCATGGTTTTTCTGATAATGCAATTTAAATTTTAAATTTATTCTGATTTGCTGCTCAAGAAACATTTTTTATTAATATCAATGTTGAAAACAGTTGTGCTGCTTCATATTTTTGAAGAAACAGTGATGCACTTTATTTTTCAGGGTTCTTTGTTTAATGAAATTTTGCAAATGCAAAAATGTTACAAAATGCAAAATTGTTACAATGTTTTTTTTTTTACATTTTAAATGTATTTACTGTCACTTTTGCTCAATTTTAATGCATCCTTGCTGAATAAAAGTATTAATTTCTTACTGACTCCAAACTTCCTGCATTAAATTGATCAAAACTGACTGCTCTTTGAACTTTCTATTCATCAAAGAATCCTGAAAAATAAAATATATCACTGTTTTCACAAAAATATGAAGCAACACAACTGTTTTCAACATTGATAATAATCAGAAATCTTTTATTGAGTAAATCGGCATATTAGAATGATTTCTGAAGGATCATGTGACACTGAAGACTGGAGTAATGATGCTGAAAATTCTGCTATGATCACAGGAATAAATTACATTTTACAACATATTCAAATAGAAAACAGTTAATTGAAATTGTAATATAATTTCACAGTTTTACTGTGTTTTTGATCAAACAAATGCAGCATTGGTGAGCAAAAGAGACTACTTTCAAAACCATTAAAAATCGTATTGATTCCAAACCTTTGATCGCTAGTGTAAACAATGTCTTAAAGAAAAAGTACAAATGCAGCAAGATTTCAAAAATAAATGTAAAAAACCTATGCCATAATTTACTTAAAATACATTTATTTCATACTAAATATACTTCAAATCCATTAACATATTTATTGAGATATCACTTAGGACTTTCTGATATAAAATCATAATGAAACTTTATTTGGAGTATATCATTACTGCACAATGCAAATGTATTAATATTATGCCAAAAATGTGTTTTAATATCACTATTAATAAGGAATATATGATCTCTGTATAATATCTTGTCTTGTATAATAAATGTCTTTAAATGCAAGATATTTAAAGTGCGCCTGAAGTATACTTGCAATAGTTCCACTTAAGCACAATCAAATATACTTCAGGATATCTTTAGTTGGACCTCAGCACTACTTCTGCACAATTAAAGTGCATTAAGTACAAAATTAGTTGTTCCAATTTAGCAGGTGCTGAACGGGATCATTTGTTTCAATTAATCTAAGAGCTTTTGAACACATCAGGCAGGAATTACCAGAGAACTATCTGCTATGAAAAATTGATTTGACATCTGATATCAGGATAAACACTGCTTCTCATTACCACCACAGAGGGCCAAAGATCACACACGCAAACTCACATATGAATGTGAAGAAAAAGTGAAGAAACTAGATAAGATGGAGAATAGATGAGAAAAGGATAGACTGAACAGATCCATGAATAAGATGCTGAATTGCATATAAATGATCATCTTTGTGAGAGAATTGATCGTGTGTGTGTTTCCTGCTTTACAGGATGCTTGATGCATCACAGCTGAAGATGAACCAATGTAAAGAAGACAAAGAGAGAAAACACAACTGTCTGTGGATTTTTCTCTCTATTGGCAACATCACTGTAAATATCCATTCATATAATAATTGTATAGTCAGATATATAGTTCACTAAAAATAACACAGCAGTAATGTCCTCCTCTCATCCTAACCAGGCTGCTTTGTTTCCGGTAAGAAGCACTTTGTCTGTCTACAATTACACAAGAAAAGCCTATAAACACGCACAATATCTTCAGTACACCTGACACTAACCTTAACTTGAGTAATACACCAACATATTAAGTGATGTAAAGAGACCTGCATAACGACATTCAACCACAAATGTCAACACCTGGTTTTAAAGTGGGAAAAACATAATATAATATAAAACATAATATTCAAGCAAGACGTGAAAGACAACTCCATTCTTTACTAATGCGCCGTGTTCTGTGTGAACAGCGCACACACACAGAGAGACAAATCTCTGATATTGTGCAAGCTCGAAATGACTTTCCGCGTTTTCTTGCGCTTGAACAGACAAATACATACAAAAGTATGTCAAAATACCAGTCTTGGCGAGTAACTTTGTAGCTTTAACAATGATTCCTCTATAGATGCACCGGTCGACTGGCCTTTTTTTGTTTGTTTGTTTTATTTCAGCCGATCTCTGTTCCGGGCTTGCACACAAACTGCACTGCAATCATTTTCCAAAATGTCATTTGTGGGGAAATATTATGAAGTCTGTAAACGGTTCAGAGACGCTGAAGATGAACGCAAACAGGGGAAAATACAGTAACAGGCAGAGCAAACTCATTGTTCACGATGAGCAAAATATTGGAAGAAAATCCTAAATATTGAATTGGGGGTTTATATGAATGTCTGAGGGGAACAGAATGTATTCAGAAAAAGATTTTCTTTTCATCTTGCCTCTGTATAATACATATTAAAGTAGTGTTTATAATTACAGCGGTAACCAAGGGAATGCTGCTGTTCCAGAAGCGCCACCTGCTGTCAGAGAGTGAATTTGCGTCTCATTCAGTCCATCTACTGCTTTTCCTAAAGCATCATTTCATTTTATCTTTGTTCTATATTCAATTGTGCTATTGTTTGTAGTTTGTTCATTTGTTCTTATTTACTGACTGTTCACTTGTCTTTAATGTTTCAATACTATATTGACTAGGCTAGCAGTTTTTACTGTGGTATCAAAATTAGAAAATCGTAAAAAACTTAATTGGTATCTAACATTTTGGTGTCATATAAGCTTATTTATTATAATAAAAGATGACATGGGTCAAAAACAATGATAACAGCAACTATAGTAAAAACAGTAAAAATATTGGCATGGCAAGTAAAAATTTGAACCACTAGCCCGACCGGCCCAGTAGATGTAAAATATTAAATAAATATAACATGTAACATATGTAACAATGAATTAATTTTAAAATACAGCATTTTTACCGCATATATTTCTTATTTCAGTTTTATTTTAGTATCATTAATGCATTATTATAGATTTTGTTAATATTTTGAATTAGATTTTATTTTTATGTTTTGTTTTCATTTTAACTTTAGTCAAAGTTTTATTTTTTATATATTACGTTTTTTTTGTGTCTGTCAGTTTAATGCCTATAAAAACGGCTCGTAGGGACTACAAAAAGTTAGGGCAAACGTACCTATTAAGCTCACCAAAATCTACATTGAGACATTTTTAGTGCACAATGAATTAATTTTAAAATACAGCATTTTTACCGCATATATTTCTTATTTCAGTTTTATTTTAGTATCATTAATGCATTATTATAGATTTTGTTAATATTTTGAATTAGATTTTATTTTTATGTTTTGTTTTCATTTTAACTTTAGTCAAAGTTTTATTTTTTATATATTTATATATTACGTTTTTTTTGTGTCTGTCAGTTTAATGCCTATAAAAATGGCTCGTAGGGACTACAACAAGTTAGGGCAAACGTACCTATTAAGCTCACCAAAATCTACATCGAGACATTTTTAGTGCACAAGATATTGGTTTCAGTACAAAAAATTATGTTAAAATAAAATATTAATCTCTCACACAAAAATATTTAATTTTATTTTAAATGACAAAAGCATTTCAATTAAGATATACATCATTAAACGCAAAAAGTCTGGCTGTGCTTAATGGGTACATTTTGTACCCTTTAAGCACACCCCTGTTCCCATTAAGTTCACGTCATGTTTTATTAAAAATTCTTGTTTATTTTAAACAACCTTTTTAAAGATGTTGTTGAAAAGAATGTTTTATTTGAAGGTACAAAGTCAATCACAAAAAAGCAGAACACTAAAATCAAGCAACAAGGCATTTCATTTGATCAGTTATATATTCATAATGAAGTGTCACTTAAGCACATCTATAAACATCTATACTAGTCCATGTTCAGCTAAGAAACATATTCAAAAATAAAACAAACCAATAAAACACAGAAACTAGCCTCATTATGCAGTCTCTTATTAAATGGATGTCAACGTATCTATATTTTCTTAAGGCTGGAATACACTACAGGTGTCACAGTTTCTCAAGGAGCGAGGCAACAAGGAGACGTGGAGACGCAGGAGATGCTCAACATAGACTTTAATAAAACCAAAACCGCAGGGACACAAACACTGACAGACGTGAAGACATTCAATTCCAGACAAAGACAGACTGCATAGACTCGAACTGAAATACACAAGGAAACGAGGATAATAACTAGACACACCTGGAACAAATTGGAAACAATTAGGACAGGAACAGGAAGGACCAAATAAGGGCATGGAAACACATGGGGAGCAAAACACAAAACACGGAACAAAGTCTGACAACAGGATTTTTGCCCCGATTTTCCACTGATTTACAGTCTGGGGAAGTTCACAGTAGTTGCCAAAGGTCAGAGCTAGTCTGTAGATTTGAGTCGACTGATTCCATAGAAAATCGATTAACTTAAAGTGACAACCATCAGTTTATATGTAAAGTCTGTTTATGAAGCATTTACATAGACGTTCAATGTGGAAGAGCTTAAAGAGAACACACTGAGCTTAATGGGAGCAGCAACAATATTTAATACATGTACATGTAATATTTATTAAAATGACAAGATTTTGCTAAATAAATAATCTAGGTCATGTATTGTTCATACATATTTTATTATGAACAACTATTATTAACAATGTCTATGAAATTATACTTTTTCTTATTGATGTCACACTGAAGCTGTGATTTTCATAGTAGTGCACCCTTTAAGCTCACGTTACAATAATATGAAATCTTTAAAAATTACAGCAGTGTAAAACCACAGACCAGCAATAAAATGTAAATTTATAATATTATGGATGTAAAAGTACAAGCCAGTAATGCCTGTTAAGTAATATATTAGCGTAGTACACAATTTTATACAGCTAGTCAGCTAACTGTGTTCTGTAGCATCTGCGCTATGTTGCTAAAACTATCTTTTGGATCTAATGTAATTATTTCCCACATCCAAGTTCCAGGTTATAATATGCAAAAGTCTAAACATTAATCTCTTCATTTTACAGTAAGTAGTGAATCTTACCCAAAATAAAGGCTCAAACGTCTAAAAATGCACATTTAAGGGGCTCCTCTTTTGGTGAAAGTTTTTAGACAGCTTTCAAAATGGCCGCCAGACAGTGAACACATGGAGGCCCATATCTCAGTGTGCACTGATCTGATTGACTTGAAATTACAGGAGGCATGTAGTAACAAACACATCAATTGGTTAATACATCAAGTATGATAATACATTATTTTTTCTTTTTATAATCTGAGCTCAAACATTAGAAGTGTGCTTAATGGGTACGTGAGCTTAATAGGTACTTTTACACTACTTCCCGGGTTTGTGACATCACAAACCCAGACAAACCCCGCCCCCAGGAACATGCAACAAAGGGGGCGAGGCCATGTTGTGCTGCTTTAGAGAAGAGGAAGAAAACTAGGGGTGCACGTAAAAATCTATTCATATATGAATCGCGATTCTGTCTTCTAGCAGTTCTATTGGATTCACAAGTTTCAAAATCAATGTTGTAAAGCAGCGGTTCTCAATCCTGATTCTCGCGACCTCCAGCTCTGCACACGCTCTGCTCTGCATCTCTCTCTCTCTCTCTCATTCAGATCATCAGCTCAGCTCCAACAATGAACTGTTCCATTTATACACTTATTTTCACATAGCTATGAGAAGCATTAAACATGGACACGCATGCGGTTGCTATACAGTATTAAACCTTTCATCAGAATAAAACCATATATTAAAAGCTAATAGAAGCAGTAGCATTTAC